TATATATATATATATATACGTATGCAGCTCGAAAAATGAGATGTAGTGATAACATTATATTTTGAATAGTATATTATTCGAGAGTTCAATAACAAAATAATTCCACAAAATAGTGATTTTAATTATTTATAAACTTATTTATTATTTGATGATCTGAAAATTTTTAATAACAAGATATGATAATTTTGCGGAGTAGCACAAACGAGTAGCAATTGAAGGGAAACATTTTTCTAATCTGAAACTTATTATAAAATCTAAAGATTATGTATATGTATATATTATATACATATATCGTATACCTTTTATTTCTTAAAATGTTTTCCATATTAGACAACATGTAAAATTATAAATAGAATTCTGTCGCGAACTTTGTCGCAAATTTATGGATTGTCTAAGATGAGCTTCAATGCCTGGGAGTTGTCGCTGTCTACTTTTCCCACCATTTCGTCCACGCAAAAAAGGGTCGATTGCATTCCTGATTGTAAGTATAGAGCTTAACGAATGTCGTGCTCCGCGAACGACGGAGAGAGTCAACGGATTTCCTTGATATCGAAGACCGGACGAACACGTCGCTGTTAATGATTGTATACGATAATAAGAGTCTCGACGATAGTTACCGATAATAAGGGTCTCTCTCGGATGAATGCACGTTCATGTTTCCGACGGTTCTAGCCAAGTAATATTAATGGACGGATTCTGAATCGCGCGAGAGAATGCCTGGAGCCGCCGTGACAGGTGCAACTAATTACGTTTGTCCGCGAGAGACGTGTGTCTCAAGAATCTTGTCTCTTTTCCGGTAACAGACGTTCACGAAGAATGTCCTCTCCTCCTTTGCCTGCATTTCCGTTTCGCGAAATTATGATATTTGTGATATTAGATGATGACTAAACATGTATGTGTGAATATTCTATTCAAATGGTAATATTTAATTTTATTTGTCTAAATCTATCTATTCAGAACTAATATCAATCTAAATCTAATCTTAAATGTTATATTTATTCAATTTTTAGCATTGTCTCATTATTTTAAATACAATATTAATTATCATTGAATTATTATCTACTCTTATATTATACAATGAATATTTTATTATCTTTATGTATATTTGTTATGCATTTTGAAACAAACTCCGTCAAATTCCGTCAAATGAGAAATATAATAATGAAATATCGAGAAAATGCGCGATTAACACTTCCGACGGAAACTTCTCTCATCTCTGTAACATCCTCTCCGAACCCTTATCCCGTATCGAGAAATTGATTTTGTTCGGGCCAGAGGGAAGTACGTCATGAATCTAATTTCCTGATCCGTTCGTAGTCGTTCGATCGCGCTTACTGGAAACGACTGTCGCGACTTCGCCGCCGATCCTCTAGACTCTAGATGGTCTCCACGCGAGTCGATCCGATAAATATTCAACGCGGGACTAATTATGCAAAAGCGAAGTATTCAGTGGCTGACTCCGCTTTAATCCCGAGCCGAAGTGCAGAGAAGAGACGAATAGATAGAGAAAGAGTTCGGAATTTGAATTTCTAAATTGCGGCCGAGTGCGACCGTGTCCAACTCATTTGGGACAATTAAAACTGCCTTAATTCATGCACACACACACACACACATTAATATATCTTCGACCTATGCATGTCACAAATAGATTTTTGTGGGCTATGATACATTATAGAATTCATATACTCGTTTCACGTAAATTAAAGCGATTTCGAATAATTTTAATTTGTACTATTAAAAAATTTATATAAAAAAATTTTATCAAAATAGAGAGAAAAAGAGAAAGACAGTAAAAAGATGAAGAGAGAGTATCCCATGAGAAATATTTCATATATACTGAAAAAAATCGCAATATGTATATTATATTTACTATTTTACATTATTTTAATATTACTTTTTTGTTATTTTTTATTTTATATTATTTCTTATATATAGTTATATTTTTGTATATAAGATTTACCGTATTTAAAGTCTCGATTCGTTAGTTAATCCTTTTATACATCAATGCATCGTCTTCTTGACGAATGAGTGGTTGGATTAAGTATCTCTAAGCTCTCGACTTGACGAATGATCGTGACTTTGCACATGTACAGATAGTAACGGTATTTGTGCCGTATGCGGGCTGCGTGTGCGATAATCAGGATCCATCGCCTGGTTCGTTTTCTGATGCGATTATGCGGTTGTGCTTTCAAGAAATAGCAAACTTATAGTATTATACAGTATTAAGGTGAATAATAATCATATAACTCGATGTTATAATCTTATATATAAAATTACTTTGGAAGGATTTAACTACTTTGAAAGAGTGCTTCTTGCAATAAATTGAAAGATTTACATGTCTAATTAGAATTAAAAAATTATATTGATAAAATTAAATTTTGTGCTTGTTTATCATGATTAAAATGACTCGATAAATTTTTATCCCAATATCTTCGATAAATTAAGAGATAATCTTGCTTAAAATACGTCTCTGCGTGATGCAGATGATATTCATTACAAGAAAGGTATATAACAGCAATTTCATTTACTGCAATGCTTTATTGCAATGCTACTTTTGCAATGCTACTAAATATGAAAGCTACTTTTTCATTACTAACAAATTTTGCCCTTTCATCCGGCAATTTTCCTCTTTCATTCTTTCAGAGAAAGACTTCTATCTAATTCAGATTATTTTTTTTCAGGTTCTTAAAAGGTCGTCTAAAGCGTTCTTGCTCCTGAAATCTTCAATTATTTAAATTGATACAAATATCGCGTAATATACTTTATTATTAATTTCTAGATTAAAATCCAAAAATTCATGGATATATTATTTTATAATTATTAGATTATAACTTTGAATTTTCCTGTATATGAATGCACTTGTGAATCGACGATTGTATCCTCGATATTACTGCATTGCGGGAAACACGGGAAAACGACAGTTGTTGGTCCTTCAAATTCCAGGATTAGATAGCACTTAAGCCTGACTTACGCGAGGTCTTCGAGCAAAGCAGTTTGACAGTGAATAACAGTTCGGCGTATTTTCTCAAGCTCGCGCGCAGCAACGGCGAGAATAAATTGTTGCTGTTTCGCCGTAATTAATCGTACCGGCGCGGTGAAATATCGTCTTCATTAAATTATTGCGAGAATTCATTGCCCGGCGATCTGTCGTAAATTAACGCCATTACAGCATAATAGCGATCCGATTGAAATAACTCCACGAAGAATTGAATGAAAGAACTCGGCGAAGAATCCTTCATTCGTTTCGGAAGGATTACATGATTACAAATATAAAGGAGCAGTAACAGTATGATATAATTTTTATAAATTACTGCAGAAATAATATATGGTACGTTCAACTCTCTCTGAAACGTGGACTAAGATCGTTGTTCCATAAAAGTCTCAGTCTATGTTTCAGTTAAATATATTTAATATATATTTTTTTTAAATCGATTTTTAAAAAGAATAATAGACATGTAAAAAAGAATATTAATTAAATGAAAATTTGTCGTCATATCACCTTTTACAAATATTATACATTTTTATTCGCTTTCAGCCGCGGCATATTTAATCACATTTAATCGCGCTAAAAAATAGCAAAACAGTTGTCTCTTTTTTATCCATGTCTGTTTGCATACCGAACGCAGAAATGCGAATAAAATCGGATTTAGGATTCGATCAGGAATTTCACACTAAATGTTTTCAACGAAAATCATATTAAATTGCACCGACATTTTCGAGAAACGTTTCGAATATGTGACGAAATGAATGTCGGAGGTAATATTGAAGCTCCGTTAAAATAATTGGAAATTGCTGTAAAGCGGCAAACGATGGTATCAAGCATGAAATTGATGTGAAACTTAATTGCAACATGCGACATTAAATGTGAATAACAGTATAAGATATCTCCCAGAGTTTCCTTAATTCAATTACTGATTAAAAACATATTAATTACATTTACATTAACATGAATTGTTACATTTTTTCGCAAAGAAATTGTTCATTTTTTAATTTTTTTGCTGAAATGTGTTATAAATGTGCGAAAAATACGCCGACGTATTCGAATTAACTATAATAACGAATCAGACATTAAGTAATGATTAATAACAATTTTGTTCATATCGTTATAAAACTTTTCCATTGCATAAATTCATTGAGCATTATACATACGTCGAAGGTATGCAGAAACGCTGCATGAAATAACAAGAAAATTAATCATAGTCATATTTTGACATCTCGCATATGCAGTAAGTAAACAAACTTAGTCAAGCGTTTCGCAATTTTAATGAAGATAAATTGCAAGCCTGCTTCTCCCTTCTCTCTCGCAACCCTCCAATATCTAAGATAAATAGCATTTTCTAGGGTAACTGAATGGAGAATGATAGATCCTGCATCCCAACCAAAGATATTATCTTCTCTCGTAATCTTCCTTAAATTTTTTAAAAATAATTATTTAATAAATCAGTTTAAGTTAAAAAAAAAGAGATCAAATTTATATTTGTGTACGTTCTCAAAAATTATTTATAAAAATATACTCGTAATTATATACAATAATTATAAATATATTATTATTATACATGTAAAAAATATGTGAAAGAAGAGTTCTAAAATATTCTGCAAATACAGATTTTTTATTCTTGTAGATATAGATGAAAATGATTATTATTATGTCTCTTATTATGTCGTGATATTTATCATTCTCGCATTCTTTATCTTTTTCTCAAATTACTACGAGAGTCATGCTTTATAACCATCAGCTTTAAGAACATGGCATAAAACACCTCGTAAAGCAGCTCATAACAGACTTTCTAATTAAGATTTTAGGAATGTAACTACGATGTAAGGCTGATGTCGGAGGGAAATGCTTTCGCGAAAACATATCCTCGTGCCGTCGTTAAGCAAACTGACAGAAACAACTACACCTGCAGCGCGCGGGATGAATTCAGAAAAAGACTTTTAAAAATTTCATTAAAAAATAACCGGCGGAATTATTTCGCGTGGTTTTGCTCAAGAACGCTCGCGTTGCCTCGGTCGATCGATTATTCGAGCTGATGAAAGATGTCAGAGAGGGGGAGAGAAAGAAAGAAAGAAAGAGAGAAAAATAGAAAGAGAACCTTTATACAAATTTAATTAAAACTTAAGTCGAGGAGCTTAGAGAGACTCTACGGGAACTTTGAAGCAGTCTCTTGCACCCTGTGACTCTTGCTCCGCGGGCATTCTCCATCCGGTACGAGGGTCTTCCGAGAGACAAGCAGGAAAATACGCGGGCAAGAGGAACGTCCGCTAGACGGCAATAAATCGTAGCGAAGCATCGGCTTACACGCACCAACGGTGCCGGCGAAGAGAAGCTTGGGAAAATCGTACGTTTATATTCGCTCCGCGGAAACAAAACGTGTGCTCTCTAAAAGATACTATAGGAATAGAACGGAATGCGCACGTTCGTTGTATTGGCTCGCGGATAAGAATTCACCGTTTCATCGATACGCTGAAATATCATCGAAGTAGATTTGATTCTTTTTAAATAGAAATTATTCGAGAGACATTTACGGGGAGATTTATAATTTATTAATTTCAGTATTATTTATCACATATATTTAATTTAAATGATAAAATAATATTAAAATCGTGTGTAAAAATTTGTGAAACTAATAATAGGCGTGTAAAAATAATTATCGATTTGTCTGTCGAAAAATGATGCGGTCGCAAAGGATGTGAAAGTATTTCCGATCAACGAGAAACCGCAGTTTCTGAGTCGACTTACCTTCCTGCTCGATCACGAAGATCTGATACTCGATCTGCTGCCGCAGTAGGATTGGATGCATATTGTAGAGAAGGGTCTGCAGATGCTGTGGTCGGTCGCGGAATGGAATGATTATGGCTACGCGATGCCTGGCAATGCAATCCGCGGGCCAACCCCTACCGCCCGCCTTCACCTCCATGAATGACCTCTCCATTTCGGACAAGGGTGGCGGTGACTTACTGACGACCACCGGTCCAACTGGGAACAGAAAGGGCAGAGGAAATTGCAGAGACAAAGATGATCCAAATGAAATAAAATTTAAAAAAAAATGTAAAATTTTATTTATATATTATATAGATGTAAATCGATTTTGTGGTATCGTACTTGTAGCATCTGCTGTTTGTATAATGAGAATAGTTATTATGATTTTTAACATGAAAATCGAACAATTATTAATGAATTTTTAGTAAATTTCTGCTTGCAATATTTTCAAACAATTTTCCTCAATATTTTTATTTGACAAATTATCATATATTTAGTCATTACATTAATTAATTAGAAATTTCCATTTATTTTTCGAGCTACTAGTTTGAGGAAGAGACATTGAATCAAACAATTTTCCTCAATATATTTTTTGACAAATTATCATATATTTAGTCATTACATTAATTAATTAGAAATTTCCATTTATTTTTCGAGTTACTAGTTTGGGGAAGAGACACTGAATCATTAACTAAATTAAAAATCGATTATATGAATGCCAGAAGTATTTTGAAGTACAGTTTTGAAAGGGGATAAACCTCTCAATCTTATGAATGCAAAATCCATTCCAAGAGACTTCCAATAGAATTCTCTGTAAAGCAGAAATGTATGCATAATTCAAGCATACAAACTGGTTCATGTAGCCGTACTCGATTACTTTTTAATTCGCCAGAACATTATTCCATTTTCTCTGGCATATTAAAATCTTTCATACAAATCATAATCTTAATGAAAAAAGAGAATATCAATTCTTGCAATGGGATCTCCATATCGATCTTTGCAGACTTACCCAAATTCGGTGGGATGAGGGGACATCGTGGCATGGTCGTGTTATTAGTCGCGTTCGCCACCGGAAGTTCTCGTGCGGCTCCGCCGACCAGATTTCTAGTCGGCACGGGCTCGAATCTGGACGAGTTCGATAGGCTCTTGGCCAGTATTGAGAGTATCGTTGTCGAAGATACATTGCCACCCCCGGTTAAGTTCGGCACCGCAGTTGCCGGACCGTATATGATCAGGCCGCGCGGATGAGTCCTATACGAACGATCCGCGTATCTGTAACAAGCACGCGAAAAAAGAACACAAAATATATTAATACATAAAGGAGTAGAAAATGAAATGTCAAAAATTTGCAAGCCAATTACGCAAGTAAGTTGTTATGTTGTCATTAGCGCAAAGTAGCTACTTATCTAATTACTACTATTATGTAATTTGCGTAAATGCGTTGATAAGATTTGCATGATCGTCGCTCAATTTATTGCAGGATATTTCAATTTTTTTTTTTTTTTTTGCACATCGGTATCGTATAATTTCATCTTAAGCATAAAACTGTATATTAATGCTAATAAGTAAGCGTTATTAGGGATTCTAGAATTAATGTTCGCGAGAGACATCATCTTGTACACAACGCGTATATACATCCAGGAGCCAATTATCTATCGATTGCGGCACATCGCAGCTATTACGAGGCTGACTGTACAATGTCTTCCATAATCGAGGCAGCTGTCTGGCGATTAGAGAGCTGATCGACTGTCTAAACGCGATTACGAGTCGTGTCTTGAAGAAGGCATCTTTGATCAAGTATTACAATAATGTCATTATATTACAATTAGTTTCGAGACACAATTACATTTATTCACCATGAGATAGCAGAATATACAGGATATTAGCTTGATGTCAGAAAGAATTTCCTTCAATCCTTTAAACAAGAGACTCTTTGACTATATCTATATTTGCAAAAAATGATAAATATAAAATGCATTCGCATAAAAGTATCTTCTCTTTTTGTTAGATATATTGTTTTGGCACACACAAATCACATACGAGTTGTGAAATCTTGTGTGAAGCAAGATAGAGAAATATTACGTACATATTTCTCAAATCGTGTAGTATAGTTTAATGTATATCAAATATATGTGTATATTACATTTTTCAAATTTTCTGCTTTATAGAGAGCACTTACTTAAGCCCGCCCAAAATTTTACGAAAATTGCAATAATTATTTACTGACGGAAACTAACTGAAAAATGTTTAATATCTACTTTAAATGTGTGACTTATGATCGCAAAACTTTTATAATCAAACTCTGATTCCGTCGAAATTTGAGTTAAATATTCGACTAAAATAAAAAAATATTTATAAAAGAATAAACACACACACAGATGTATTTATTAAGTAAAAAAAAAAAGAAAAAAGAAATCGAGAGCGCAATTAATACGATCGCGGCAGTCAATCAAGAGAAGTCAGATTAAATGAATCTAACGCCACTAAAGCCGTATTAAAATTGTTAATGAAAACTCAGAACGATGATGATACATCTTCTGAAACGATTTGCTCGCAAAATCTCAGAATTAAATCGGATGCCGACCTATCCAACTCGTTTCCCTCATTGATTTTGCAAAAATTTCTCGACCCATTTCGACGTAGGGACTTTTCAGGAAATTTGATGCGGCGGTACAGCCTCGAACTTTAAAAGCGATTTTCTCGTGCCACAAGCGTTTAGTGCATTTTTGCACCAGTTTCTTTCCTCAATTTTAGGTCTAGAATGAGACTCTATTCAAGGGCTTAGAATCATAAAACCTAAGAGAGATAGAAAAACAGAGAGAGATTTTAAAACCTTCAAACCAGATTAAGACAAATTAGATTTTTTTATTTCTCTCTCTTTGTGTTTAAAAAGAAATTAGTATTACTGATCATATAAAATAAAATTATTTTAATTCTGATTGTAAAATATATTGGACAAATTTTGAAAAATATATATATATATTTTTTCGTTTATGGGTTATACTTTCCAAGGAAAAAACATTTCGTCTCACTTATTCACCCTCACTAGAAAGTGTAGACCGATTTTTTTCTTTTACTATGAGCCTTAAAATCGACATCTCGATGTGAATGCGGTGAGTTTCCGATAAGTCAGCTGTCCCCATTGCTGCTCCTGCATTTTAATTCACTTAAGGTTTACGACAAACGCAAAGGACGCGGCAAGAGATTACGACGAACTTAATACACGTAGGATCTTCTCTCGTTTACCCCCTGTCTCGTTCTCCTCTCTCTTCTCGCGAGAGATCGTCAGCGAGTTTCCCGAGTTTACGATTCGGTCCGCTTGCAATTGCAATTTCCGGAACCGCCGCCGGCCACCGCTGCGACTGCAATCCGTGATCTAACGTCCTTCTCCTCCTCTTCCCTTCTTCCTTCAGACACGTGCAACGGAATTTGTGCAAAATCACGAGATAGCGCGACGTGGATGTCAGTGACAAAGACCGCGATAAGATAAATGAAAAATCACGAAAACGCACGATGCTGCGGTTTTAATGTATTAAAATGTATCTTATGATGTCGGAAGAAAGAAATCACATACAAAAAATGCTCTCTTATGACAAATATATTCTATAGATACATGTAAAATTAAAAAGAAAATAAATAAAATTTTTAGTCTAACGAGACTTGTTTAAAGGACGTTGTTTAAAGGAATGTAAGATGATTTTGAGAAGAGAATATTTTCCGAAATACAATAATACAAAAATAATTAATAAAATATTCACATTCAATATATATAATTACAATATTAGAATAACAATACACTAAAATAAAATTATAAAAATAAAATAACGTGAAATAAAATTATATTGCACTCACTCTGATTTCAAATGTAAATTTTAATTTCTAAAGAGAATTGTATTTCGTAAACAGATAGCAGATATCGCGCGCATACCAAATCGATTTCTATCTATATAATGTATCTCGTGACAAATCAATAGCTTAAGGTAAACAGCGATAAAAACGACAGTCATTTTCGCTGTTTTTGTCGCGACGTAATCTCAATTTAGGCGAATAAATTTGGTAGATCATTGTTCGCTCATTGTTCACAGTATGATAATAAACACTATGAAAACCAACAAAGTTACGAGCCGTCATGCGGATCGATTCTCACGAGGCATTTCGCGAGAAGAGCCGGCGCGGAGATGCGGCAGGTGTGTGCCTTGCACAAGCGGATCCTATTTGCATATACCACGTTTCCTACGCCAACGGCAAGTCTGTTTACAAAGATTTTTGCGACCGAGATGGAATTATTCTCGCGTATACCGCGATCTCGCGACGAAAAGATTTACAATCTGGTAAAAAGCTACGCACACAGTTCTTTTCGAAGGGATTTCCAAAAATATGTAATAGAATTAATGCATATCAAAATAAAATGTAAAATAAAATAAACCTAACAAAATAGGTAATATAGTTTTTCTAAATTATTTATAAAAATACTTTTCTCGCGTTTTCATATTTCAAGCACGTAGTGAGATTTAATTTCTCGAATGTTATTACTGAAAAATAAAAATATTAGAATTACTCTTGTTTCTCTATTTGGAATCCTGTTCTATTTTCTTTTGCTATTAATCTCAAGCAATGATTATGTTTCAAATATTAATAAGAAATCTATAAGGATTCCACAGATAAATGCCTCTCCATTCCAGTTGCAAGATAGTTTCGATGCCACCCGATATTTCGGGAAGCTAGAGAACGCCGGTATCGAGCGTCGTTTCAAATTTAAATTAAATTCGCGTACCGCTTGGTATATCCGTTTGTGGATCAGACAAACTCCTCTCTAGAAGCGTACATCTAGAGGCACGTGTAAAAGCGATGCAGTTAACGATTTACCTGATTGCGAAACTTGAGAGAACTCGTCGATGCTTAAGACAACAACGACAAGGCTTGCGTCAACGAATGATCGAAAGGACGATTTAAAAATCGGCGAAATCGCGCATGCAGAATCTCAAATGATGTAAATTTGAAACCGTTTAGGAAAATACTATACCTAATACAAAAATAATTAATAAAACATAATCAAATATTCAAATATATAATTACACAATATTACAGATTAACTATAAAATAAAATAAAATAAAATAATAAAAACAAAATATAACGTGAAATAAAATTATATAGCATTCCCTGTGATTTTAAATTTCGATTTAATTAAATTTTATATTTAAAGAGATTTTTGTATAGATTATATCGTAAGCAGATATCAGATCAACGCGCGTATACCAGATCACCGTTCGACTTTTTATCTGTATGATAAAATAGCATCTGACGACAAATCAACAAAATGAAGATTAATTTCTGTCCCCTCTTAAAAAATAATGTAAATACAACAATAGATTAAATTTTTTTCTCTCTCTCTCAGCAATTCGCAGAATGAAAGAATTTAAGACAATTTTCTAATTTAAAAATTTTGCAATTATGTTTGAATATTTAATATTAAAATATAAATTAGTAGATATGGAAAAGTGAAATATAAAGAGATATATATTTAAACAGAGTTCATTTTATTACAATTTATCAATTCTATAATTAGCAAAATACAAAAATCTTGAAAATTTCAAAGAGACGTAAAATTGATTATATAATACAATATTCAATATAAAAGACCTAAAGTAATGATAATAGATAAGAATTTATCAAATGTCTATACATTGCGACAATTTATTATAATACAAAATGTGCATTAATATTCCTTTATTCGGAATTCAAAGAAATTAACTCCCTCGTTACACATCCCATGTAACGAAGATATTAATAGGGATCAAGCTGAGAACAAGACGAGGAGATACAGACGACTGATACGGCATGAAAGCACGTATCGGTGCGCGCGTGCAATCATAAGGGAGTTCCGATTCCACCCTGGAATTCAACGGAATTCCCGCCACGTTCGGAGCGGCATAAATCTGACGTGACTCATCCGGGTTGTCGATACGTAGGATCGGCTGCGTGCACCATCCGGAAATACTTTGTCTGCTATGCAGCAGCCGGATCGGAATCCGCGAAGATCTTTCCACTCGCGGCGCGAAAGATATCTTCGCGATAGCGGGCACGCGGAAAGCTCGACGAAGCTCGCCGATACGTAGAGATATTTTTCAACGTACGTGACAGGACTTTTAAAAGCGATGCGATCGACACGACTGGTTATCACCTGGTGACAAGAAACGACCGGAATTTTCGGAATGAAAGCCAAGAATGAAGATGTGTGGTGACAGCAAAGCTCACAGTAATATTGTACTAT